GCGAATATGACACTTAAGGTCAAGGACGCTCTGGACTCATACGTCATGAGTCATGTAAATGTGATAACACTGGCGTGAAACGCAATGACGAATTCGCAGGATTTACAAAAGGAGTACGCACATAGACGATGTCATCAAGGCACAATACCTTTTTTTCGGGGATTATGTACTGCTCAGTACTGAGAACCTAGCAGACGATGCAATCTCAAGCTCGAGAAGCTCGAAGCTCGAAGGTGTTACCTCGCTTCATCAATTTATGTCATGCAATGAAAATGCCGACACTATCGAACACCCAATGTTCTAGGTAGAGCACCTCAAACCCTATGAGCTCACGACGACGCGACTTCCAGCCTGTATGTAACGCAGTCTAATTTGAATATAGCGTCAGAGCCACAGCTTCGGCACGAGGGTCAAAAGCCGAACTCCTGGGCGTCGTCGCCTTAGCAACATTCTCAGAATCACGGAAACCATCGTGTATTTGTACAGCAAACGAACGATTGACAGAGTCGGAACGTCGACAAGAAGCAGATGGCTGCCCCTTCGGGGAAGGGATATTCACCCGAAACGGAGCGAGGTCGGTTGGCAGAAGGCTCCACGTTATCAGCTACAGCAGCCACAACAGGAGGGGGAGTTTGTATGGCCTGCTTCAATCGTCAAATCCGATTCTCGGTTGCAACCCCTGTTTGAGTTTCCGTGACGCCATGTGAGATCGTGGACTTCGTAACCGACCCATCGAGTCTCCTGCACGCGTTGTTGCGCCCTCGAAACACGATCGAACATCTCGATCATCTGCCGATTTACCACGAAAAGAAGTTTCTCCACCCTCGTCATTTGAAACTCCAAATCATACTGCGTATGTGGAGCAGCCACAGATGAAACAGAGGAGACGCTCTCCTTGGGCGTTTGTCGGCGCGCTAGAAGCCATTTTGATTCTGAATAGGATGTCTGCTGTAATTAGCTACATGGTCTCGACCCAATGCTGCATTGGGGATTACACAGCTTTCACGTTTCCTAAAAATCCCAGATTGCAACATTGGAATGTATCTATTTGCGTGCTACGCTAACTGAAGAGTACAAGCCTAACCGGTATCGTATACCAAGGCATTGGTAACTATGCGGTCATGGCATATTCGGATACAGATTTGGGCAGCAATACCGATGACAGATGTTCGGTTCCATGAACTATGATCATGATTTCAGGTACGCAAGTTGTTTTCAGGTCAAAGTACCAGCGAGCCATTGCACTCAGCTTGGCAGAGGCTGAGTATATGGCTCTCAGCCTTTGCATCCAAGAAGAGAAGATTATTTGGACGCGTGCGATGTAAAAGGACATGGGTCATGAGCAAGTAAAAGAGCACAAGTTTGATGTGACAACAATGAACAGATTGCTTTATCTCACAGCGTCGATTGCCATGCTTGCACTTTATCTGCAAGAATGCGCACGAAGGATTTTTGAAGATAGACTACATCGAGACGTAGCGTGAGGTTGCAAATATGCTGACGATGAAAGCACTTGGGACCAAAACGCTCGCCTTTTAACGCGATGCAGCTGGTTCAAAGACCAAGAGCACTTTAATTATCAACAAGTACTAATGGCGAGTAAGAGTGTTGAGATGGCGCCGCTCAATACTATTTAAGAACGATGTTGCGGCTATACGTCTATTTTACATGCCTAAGTATTACGTTTTGTGTACAGAGGATAAACCTAAAGGTTACAATGTGTTTGCTTTGATTACATGATGGCGAGAAAACTTACTCACATAGACTTCATTGCGGGATACTCAGTCATTGCCTACATTCACTCGTCCATTCTGACCAGATTAGATATTCAAAGGCCAATGTTAGGACGAGAAAGACATGGGATCATTTTATACTTTTCCCTTGGATTATACCCAACATCGCCGACTATCATGTGTATCTATACGGAATAAAAACTGAATTCTTTGCTTAATGTTCAATTTCAAGATCAAGGTTTTCGCTCCTTCTGGAGGGATTGGCATTGCAAAAAACTTAAAGTGGTAGAATGATATGCAATCGACATTTTGGGCCCAATATATATACAGACAACATGCCCGCATCTGCTAAGTTATTGTCGACGATAAGTTCCAAAATCAGCTTTTTCAGCTTATTGGAATGCTGCAATATTAGCAATCACATGACTTTTGGCCCACATTATGGATCATATGTTTCAGTGAAATTTCCATATGTACATTATATATCCATGACCAGATGGCCCAGCTGGCGGGTTCAACCACACTGAATACTGGTCCAAATTACAATCCGCGACGTCATGAGAACCAACGATGATTCTTTGTGTTATTGTCTATCTATCAATAAGAAAAGATTTTCGTAAAAATGGGAGATCACAGTAGGTTATATTAAAGCCACGCTTCTCACCGAAACGATTGAAACATATCCTGCAGCTCCAGAACATCAATAAGGAATCAGTGAGTGGACACAAACGAATTATGCTGCTGGTCGGATCAGTTCTTCAACTTTATTTGGTGCATAAGAGCGTCCTCTCAGATGCTCTTACAGTAACATCTGCAATGTCTAGTCGATCAAGCACCATAGAATTGATCTTGATTTTTCAAATATATGTCCGAAATATTATGATCAGACATGTAATGACATTTCTATTGTTCCATCAACACCATGCGCCATCTTTTAAATCTCGTCCTGGTGTATGCTGTTGGCGCATTCGGCATAAATGTGACTGCGCATGTTACGTCAGTCTCACTCAATCAGTCTTTAGACGTTGATCATACGATTGATAAGGCAGAGAGATCTGTGAGTACACAAAACACGATTTTGCAGTCACTTGGAAGAGTTTCAAGGCGAGGAGAGGGCCTCCGTGTGGAATCATGTCGTCGAAACTTCCCAAACAATTCGTGGTTGGCTTGAATGGATTGGTAAAAAGTTGCTTTATTTACTGAAACGATTTATTGGGTATCAGCCACCAGTGAATGCATCAAAGACTCGATTGGAGACAAAGAGCGCACCGTTGCAAGAAAAAGAAACTATAAATCATGCCGGAGACGCACCGTTGCTAGAGAAGGCAACAATTGAACATGCCGCCACACAGAGCGGTACAGAAACGAACCTCGAGTCTAATCTTCAAAAGCAGACGCACATGGTGGAAGATGAATTGAAAGCCCATAGTATTCCCGACGTCGTAAAGCTCCCAGCGTTAGAGCTTGATAAAGCCTCTTTAAAAGTATATCAAAATTTGATCGAACAAAAAACACCCGAGAACATGGCAAATTCTCTGCGAGGAACTGCATTTAGAACCCTTATCTTTGGGAGGGACCTATTCAAAAATGTAGTGCATCCGTACGTCAAAGCCTGTGAGGACACCGCAAAAACCAGAAGTGGGGATACGTGGGGTGTGGAGGCTGCCTTTAAAATGCTACAAGCAAGTGGAATGTTACATTCATTTACTAAAAAGCTAGAAGACATGGAGAAAGCAGCCGATGGAACGCAAAAAAGTGCCACCACTCTACGAATTCGTTTGGGGCTGAACGAACTTGCGTTAAAGAAGAAGTGGACGAAAGAAGACGTTTCAAAACTTTTTGGAAAAAATATTCTGATTGAAACAGCTCTTTAGTGAGTTGACGCGACTCAATGACAAAATAGCTGCAAAATATCTGCTGTGTAAGTCGAAGACTAACTGCGCTTCCTGAGTACTACAAAGCATCTAAGTTTTAAATAGATTTTGCTCTATCTTAGAAATGGAAAAAATCCATTGTCATGTTGCCAGCGTTCTGGAAAGCAACAGTATGAGACTAGAGCCTCAGTACAATCAGGTGACCTGCGCCAAGAATAATATCTGTGGTTTTAGTCAATTTTACACTGCGCATGACAAGCATTCGCAAGGGTTGTCTTGGTTTGAATATTCAACGACCCACCCAGCTATTTCAACTTTTAAGCACTACACTCAAAGCTCAATTCTACTGTCAATATCACTTAGTCTCCACTCTTGAAGTAGCGTCGTCGACTTACCATAGCTAAAATGTTATATGAATGAAGGCATATCGTAAGGTATAAGAACGCAAGACAATACCTGTTCTACTATCTTTAATACTCGAACATTATGCGTTGCATGGAGCAAGACTAGTAATTCACGGGTCTCAGGAACCTTTCCTATCCAATGTCTTATCACCCACCTTCGAGTCATGATAACTTTTTCATAAAATTCGGTACTTTAGAGCTTGGCTATACGTCCGACAGCCAATAATGACACTAGTTTAATATGTACACAGAGTCCGGGTCCTAAGACAGAAAACTGCATTTTGCTTGTTTCTTTGGATAAAGCTTGGGGTAAGATTCACCAAGTAATGATACGGTTGGGCTAGAAGCCACAACATCTTGGAATAGTATAAACTTTGGCAAGAAGGAGGTAGTGGCAGGTATGCCTCAGCTTCTTGTGGTAGGTATTCTTGTATAACCAGGAAATGCGGTAATTTGGTTATGCAGCGACCTTTGTAATAAATTCACATTGCAACAATGTATAGAAGTAGCAGATGATATTCTTAAAGGGAGAGGTCTGTGACACACATGCAAACTCGAAAAATACTTAAGCGAAAGGTTTTCGGTCCCAACATAGAAGCCTACCCTGTGCGTTTGTAGGCGTGTTTTCTCCAGTCAAAGCTTCCTATGTAAAAGTAAAAGTACCAACATCAGACCCTATCCTAGATGCCGTAACGGTCACCATATTCGTGAGATTCTCTAAACGGGTTGGGCTTGTACCCAGATCACCCCCAGCCACTCGAGAAAGCGGTGAATACTGCACTGAATATATATTTCAAGTTGTGTGCTGCGAGGGCAAATTGGTGTGAGCTCTATGAGCATTCCACAGGCGATGTACCTCAACCATGTTAGAAAAGAAGGAAGTGATATCTTAGTAGATGACCAGTTCCGATGCAGCGGAGCTGCCGTGGCTCTTTGCTTAAAGGAAGTTAAGCTAAGTTCTTCGACCTTACGACCCATACAAGGACAAATACGAGTGTAGCAGATCACAATCCGCTATACCCCAAAACCTTAACCAAGGCAAATACGCTTGTCCGAATTGAAACTCTATTTAATTGTTTTTGTTGCGGCAGAGCCGCCAATATCGAATCCCTTAGATTTTTCTAATTAATATGCATTACTACTGGCAGTCCTGCCACGCAGTGGCTTCTTTTTACTGTGTAGGCACATCATTGTATGTTACACCAACTTGTCTAATCCACACCTATGCATGATCACACAATCTTGTATGCCCGCCCTCATACAAGGGTGCGTGCAACCCCGTTGCACTATCCCCCATTAAAATTGTAACACAATCCACATATGACTGTCGCCTCATACGAGGCTCGCATGTCAAAGACACAGTTACGTTTTAAAGAACAACCTTAAATAGTTTTCGCTCAATTAGCCCTGACGCAAAACACCCAGCCTCGCTGGTTCTGAGGGTGCACCCGAGCAGAGCTCTTATTTATCTTTCTGCACGATTTGCATCTCCGGACAGTATGTCCG